GAGGAAGAAGGAGGATGAAGAATGAGGGCTAGGAGTATGAAGAAGGAGGGAGGGACAACTATCCCCATCTGGTGGCAAAAACACCCAACTTCAACTAGATTCCAGGGCCCTGATATAAAAACATCAATAAACACTTTGATACAGTGTTCAGTGTGTGAGGAGTTCTGCCTTTTCTGTAATAATAAGTTTCTGAAAATGCCAACTGATTGTGAGATTTAGCACAGCAAAGGCTGAAGATTAGAACAGCATGTCTAGGGAGCAGAGAGATCAGCATCAATGTCACCTGGCCAGAGAGCTGCAGCTCCTTTCAAGTGAGATTTTGTTCATCATGCGAAGGATTGGCTCTTGATGTGATGCATCTCTTTTCCTAGATGTCTTAGTGTGGAGCAATGATCGAGTTATTCGCTGGATACAAGCGATCGGACTTCGAGAATATGCAAATAACATCCTCGAGAGCGGAGTGCATGGCTCACTTATAGCCCTGGATGAGAACTTTGACTACAGCAGCCTGGCTTTATTGTTGCAGATTCCGACACAGAACACGCAGGCAAGCAAGTCCCTTTGTGCTGCATTTCACTGGATCATAGTTAATAGAATAACAGATGAAACTTTTAGAAAATTATAGGGCTGTGAATTTATTGTTGTTTTTACTAAATTTATCTTAATTAGCACATATAAACATAATAATAAATACAATGAGATAATGTGAATATTATAGATATTGAACAGAGTGTTGTTTATACTGGGTTAGACATATATAGTTCCTCAGATATCTTCATTTTTGTTTTGATAAAATCTTCTAAAATAGCCTGGCATGGTAGCACATACCTTAATCCCAGTATTCAAGAAAAAGAGGCAGGCAGATCTTGACCTTGAGGCAAGCCTGGTCTATGCAATGAGTTCCAGGCCAGTCAGGGCCACACATAAAATCAGTCACGAAGAAATTATAATAATTTCTTCTAGCTTTAATAATATAAAATATATTATATTACCTACAATTGAATGGATTCCTTGCAGCCTTATAACTTTGTGCCCACTGAGTAGCCTTTCTCCTAGCCCCCATTTTCTCTTCTCCATTAACCACAATCCCACCCTCAGCTTCTGTGAGCTCAAATTCCACACTTACCTGACATCATGTGTACATGTCTCTCTGTCCCTAGCTTGTTCCATTTAATATAATCATCATTTATTTCTGTCACTGGAATTTTAATTTTAAGGTAATAAGTTGATAGCCAAACACAATCTTAAAATTAGAAAGGCAGGGGATGGAGAGATGGCTCAGCAGTTAAGAGCACTGGCTGCTCTTCCAGCTGACCTATGTTCAATTCCCAGCACCCATATGGTTGCTCACACATGTCTGTAACTCAAGTTCCAGGGCTTCTGACACCCTCCCACAGACATACATGCAGGAAAAATACCAATGAGCATAAAATAAAAATATTTTTTTAATTAGAAAGGCAGAGAGTTGGAGTTCTGTGATATAGGCCTCTACCTGAATCCCTATCTCCCTGAAACAATACCTGTGACTGATGGCCTTTGGTCTCTGATAGGCTGTCCCTTGTCTTTACTTACTTAATTAAATTTACATTTAACTGATTGTTCAGGCGATCCCTAAATCTGGACAGGTGTATGATTCAGCAGAGTTCCATGTAAAATCAAATACCTCCGATTTACTGTACAGTCCATAAAAATAAAAACATTTTAAGAACTGGAGCATAGGAATCCTTACATATATGAGGTTTAAACTGGGCAAGGTGCTGCATGCCTGTAATCTCAGCACTTTGGTGGCTGAGACATGGGGATCACTAGTTCAAACCAGCCTGGGATAGTGTCTTCCACCTTAGCGTTCATAGTAAGATTTTGTCTCAAAAAACAAGCAAATAAACAAAAACCAGGAAAAATGTTCTAAAGTTTCAAGTCTGTAAACTACCTGTTACACTGGATAAAATCCAATGCAGTATAACTTTATTTTGTTTTTTAACATTTAAACATTTTAACATGACAGTTAACGTTTACATAAAAGGCTTAATTGGAATAAAATAAGCATTTGAAGTAAAAGCTTCTTAACTGCAGCCATCGATGCAAGGGAACTCTCTACTAAAATATGTTTCATAACATCTCAGATAAATAAAACCTTTATGTTTATTTAATAAAAATGTAACTTCAGTGACAGTAAGTTTGATTTGATGTCAACAGGCAAGGCAGATTCTTGAACGCGAGTACAATAACCTCCTGGCTCTGGGAACTGAGCGGCGACTGGATGAAGTAAGTTGTTACCTCACATTCAGAAGTACCTTACAACTTAAAATAGCCTTCCCCAGAGAAGGGCACACAGATTGGTTGTCCAGTACCAAATGGTCAATCCTAAAAACATAGGTGCAAACATTATCATACAAACTGAGGGATTACATCTAGGAATACATATGGAGATATATATATATATATATATATATATATATATATATATATGTGTGATATTGCATATATATGCAATAACAATTATTTACAAAAGAAGCCATGAATTTGAAAGAGAGCAAGGAAGGGTGTTAGGGAGGTTATGGAGGGACTACATGAAAGAAATGTAAATTACATTATAATCTCAAAAGTAAGGAATAGGCAATGAACTTGAGGGTTAGAGCATGGGAGGTGTTGTAGAGAGAAAAGGGAAGGGGAAAATGATGCAATCATATTTTAATTTTCTTTAAAATACCTTACAGCTTATATGAAGAATGGCAACAGTCCATGCTTTGAAGGAATGGGGCTTGCAAATTAGCAAGTTTTATATGTAGCGTCTAGAAATGTTCTCATTTACTCCTAAATTTTAAGTGATATTTCTTAGTTTTGATATTTTATTTAGCACTAAGATTCATGAATGTTGTCACTTTGGTATGTGGCCCTTAAAAAATAACTTAAAATAAGATGTTTCCATGAGCAGTGACCATAAAGTTTCAAGAAACAGTTCGTTTTAATTTATCGGCAAAACCACTAATATTGATAAATTCAACTTTTAAATAATGAATGTGCTTATTTTCTAAGTGCCCTTACATCTTTTCCAGAAACTTTAGAACATTAAAAAGGAGAGAATTTGGTTTTGATAAATTGGAAAATTTGTTATTTTATATAGGGATGTTTAGTTTTCTTAAAAATAAAAAAAATCTTAAGAATTGTAGGCTATAATAGTTATATTGATTACAAGAACACCTGAGCATGGTATACACAGCTTAAGTGAATTGGGAAACAAAGAATATGTAAGAAGATATCTGAAATGAGTAAATGAAATAGAGATTTGTATTCTCTATAATGGACAGATACATTAAGACAGCCCTTCTGATCATTTTTTTTAAATAAAATCTTTCTGGGAAAAATTAAAAGAAAACGTTGGAATATAGTGGAAAATAGAGACATATAATTCTTGTGGGAAGTACTGGTGTTCCCTGGCTGCAAAGACAGCTGTTGAAAATGACTTTTATGAAAATGTAGCTCAGTGCAAAGAAGGTGCCTAGAAAATGCAAGATCCTAGGTTTAATCCCATTCCACAAAAATGCATAAAATTAGAATGAACTTGGAAATTCATAAAATACAGCAATAATTCTATATTCAAATGGACAAGGTAGATTACATTGTTGTTGTAAACCCATGGTATACTGAGTAAAGGGAATTTTAGAAATTTATAAACATAACCCTAACCACCTGTTAAAATATTTGAAATATTCTCCAATCAGGATGATGTATATTTCCCAAAACATAGTTAAAGAGATAAAAAGATATTGAGTGAAGTGCTCCCTATATAGACATGATGACTTGAGTTTGGATTTCCACTACTAGTTTATAAGGCCAGGGAAGACACCAGACAATTGTGGTTTCAGGCACTGGGGCACTTGAGATAGATAGACCACTGGAGTTGTAGCCAAGCTAGTTGAGTAATCTTAAAGTATAGTAAAAGGCCCTGTATCAAAAACTGGCAGATAAAGATTAACAAAAATCTCTGCTCTTCCCACACAAATGAATGCGTGTATAATGAGCACATATGAACAATACACATGCATACACTATACACACGCACACACATGCCAGTATGGCTAAATAATAGCAATTCTGTGACTTCTTTTGTCCAGTGTTTGAATCTGAGCAAAGCTAATGACTAAACAACTGGCCTTAACTATAGGGAATTTACTTCTGGGTTTCTATTGGCCACGTGTATATTCTGTTGAACTCATTTGAGAAGTTCTAATGTATGTCTAAGAATTCGACCTCAGTTAAAAAGATCACTTTGGGGGCAGAGAAATAGCTCAGCTGTTAATAACACATGCACTGGTCTTTTGGAGAACCACAGTTCAGACCCAAACCCCGACACCAGGCAACTCATACCCACCTTGTACTCCCAAATTGGATCTGATATCCTTGTCTGAGCTCCACAGGTACTGCACACAGGCAAACCCACACACAGACAAGATATGTACACATATTTTTTTAAGAATTTAAAAAAAAAGATGCATCTTAACCCTATCTCTTGGAAACGTTTTCTTAAGTTATTGCTGCAAGAATGTCTAATTATTTTTCTGCAGTGATTGCTTTGTGTGGTGAAAGAAAAGCAGAAGAGTGTCATGGCTGAGACCTTTGCTCACTAATTAAAGAAAAAAAAACCACCTTACCTTGTATATTAAAGAAGTCACATAGCCTTAAAATGTAAGATAGGGGTTTACACATAATTGATAAATATTTAACGGAAACACCACTTCTCCAAGAATATAGAAGTCAGAGAGGCCGTTAATGCATTGAAATATATTGTTTCTTTTGTCCACCTGTGAACATTGAAGTTCTGAGACAATATAAAACAAAATCACTTTGGTATAGCATATGTCACTTAACTTTTAAAAAATGCCAAATAAAAATGAAATTTCGGTGTTGACAATAGGGGTGTTAATATTTAACTTATTTAACTTTTCTCCCAACCAGACCTTAAATGGTAATTAAATTGACAGTCTATATAAGATAGGCTATATTGTTCAAACAGAACCATAACAATTTGAAATAAATAGTGTCAATTATTTCTCTACATGTGAGAATAAATTAAATGAATAAATTTCACGTGTGTTGTGGAAGGAAGGGTGTTAGACCAGAAGAAGATGGAGCAGGTCTCTCATTTTCACAAGTGTGGTCATAGAACATGTGTGGCTATGTAGTAGCTTCAGGAAGCAAGTCTTGGAGATCTTAGAAGATAATATCTATATAGGATGATTTATACGCTTGTTAGAAATAAATGCACACACAAAATGGTGAATTGCAGGTTTCTGCTTACTAATTAATTCAAAGGAAGATAATTGCCTTCGAACAGGTACTTCGTGTATACAGAAAAAGGAAAGTGATTATTTCATTGAGACATAACAGAATTAGTGACCAGAATTACATCACTTTTTCTTTATTGGAAATTTATATGGGCTGGAGAGATGGCTCGGTGGTTAAGAACACTGGCTGTTCTTCCAGAGGTCCTGAGTTCAATTCTCAGCAACCACATGGTGGCTCACAACCATCTGTAATGAGATCTGGTGCCCTCTTCTGGCCTGCAATGATACATGCAGACATTACACTGTATATATAATAAATAAATAAATCTTTAAAAAAAAAAAGAAAGAAAATTCATACACTGTATTTTGATTATACCCACCCTCCCCCATCTCTTCCCAAACATCCCCTCCAAGTCATATCAACACAACTTTGTGTCCTCATTCTTTTTTGTAAACACACAGAATCCAATTAATGATACCCATATACTTCGGGATTCATGGCCAGCCAAAGTGGTCAAGCTCCCAGGGGTATGGACCTTTTGAGAAAACTAACTCTCCCTCTTCCAACAACTATCAGTGATCAATAGCTCCTAAGCCATGGGTGAGACTTTAATGTCACCTCTTTCTCTACGCCAGAATTTTGTCTGGCTTGAGCCTGCTCAAGTCTTTGGCCCGCTATCACAACCGCTATGAGTTCCCTGACGTGCCTGCAACACAACTTCATGGTAGTCATCTACCACCTCTGGCTCTTGCGATCACTGACTCTTTCTTCTACAATGATCCCTGAGCCTTGGGAGAAAGGGGTGTGATATAGATATTCCATATAAGGCTTAACATTCCACAGTTTCTTATTTTCTGTGCCATGACCAGTTGTGAGTCTCTAGTTAGTGCCTATCTACTGCACAAAGAAGCTTCTCTGATAAGGTTTGAGAGCTACACTAATCTATAGGTAAAATGACAAGTCATTAGGAGTCAGTTGAGTGCTATATCCCTTTAGTAGAGTAATATTAGTGGGTTCCCCCTTAGGGCCTATATTCTGTCTAGCTGCATGTTCCTGGCCCTGAAAATGGTGCTAGGTCTGAGTCCTATCTTGTGGATCAGGCCTTACATTCAACCTAAAAGTGTTTGGTTACTTCCATAATGTTAGTGCCACCATTGGATCAGGGGTGGCATGTTTTTTCAGGCCACTGATCATTGCCACTCATAGGGATTACAGCTGCATAAGACTGATTGATGATTATTTTTCACTCTCAGTATCAATACAGTACATTATAGAACTATAAAGTTAGCCAGTAGGGTTGAAGTTTCTAGAAGAATTCCAGCTTGATCTCACCATGTTTTATGATTCACCTATTTGGTGTTTTCAGCAATGGGGTCTTAATATTAAGTTCTGGAGGGTAACCAGGAGCAGTGTCATTAGCATGTAATGTTTATTAACTAGGATCAGCTTTTGCTCATAGCATCACCTGAAAATCAATCAAAGGTGTTAATTGAAATGATGGAGACCAGGCTACAAAGGATTTTCAAAACAAATCCAGTTAATTCATAATCACCAAAAATCTGACAAATCATTTTTTATTAAGGTTATAGCCCATTGTATCACCTGCTAACCAGTATGTCTCAAATATAGATTTTTGCATACTATCTACCTTTTGTGTACATGAAACTTATATTTGATGATTACTTGACTCAAGTGCAGTCTACTTAACAGCTGATGCAATTAAGTATATCATCTCATTATGAAAAATCCATTAGCACAAAGTGTAACCAAATAAATCCAACGTTCCATTTAGATTAAAAAAAAAAACCTTTAGTATTTTATTATTTCAAGAAGGTTTAAAGCTGACAAACTTTAGATTTGAAATCATATTAAAATTTTATTTAAGAAACATTTCTGTCATATTTACTGTCTCCTCCTGGAAACAACAAAGGAGTTCAAAGTGAAGCAAAGCATTCCTATGTGTACTTGACAGACTGAATTTAAATAAACTGTTCCATGCCCCTGAGCACACAGATGTAGGGACTGCAGCCTATTTGTTTTCATGACATCGAATTGTGACTCTGTGCTGGCAGAATGATGACAAGAATTTCAGACGTGGCTCGACCTGGCGAAGGCAGTTCCCTCCTCGTGAAGTACATGGAATCAGCATGATGCCTGGCTCCTCAGAGACATTGCCTGCCGGATTCAGGTTAACCACAACATCTGGGCAGTCAAGAAAAATGACGACGGATGGTACAGTGGTTTTACATTTCTGCTTATGAAGTAAAATGCTTGTTTAGACGAAGCTATAGAATGCTTCAACTTTGCATAGCCTTGTGGCCTTGATTCTTTTCTTGAGTTGGTTTGCTCTGCTTGAATTTTACTTTGCTTTTTAACAAAAAGACCATTTTTAAACTGCCAATTCATAAATCCATGAGAATTTATACACATCTAAAAAATAATTTGCATCCCCCCCCAAAAAAAAACAGTTCCACTAATGTCCACATCTAGGAAAAAAAAAAAACAATGCACATATGCATGATTGGTGTTTCTTTACTCTTCCATTCCCAAAATAAATAATCCATTTAAAATGGAGATTGGATTTGAAATCAAACCCTACTTGAAATGGGAATCACTGTGCTGGCACTTTTATACATTGAAATATTACAAATTTTGTTTTATCCTTCAAATTCAGATTCATCAGATATATATTGTCTCTGACCAGGCGGAAAGCCTTAGTAAACAAGCACAAACATGAAAAGAGAATTAACATACAAAAAACCCAACAGTGATTTCCCAATTGCATCTCTTTCTGTGGACTTTAGACTTGTGCTCCATCCTTCACAAAATAAAACAGTCATTTTGGAAAGACAACTTTGAAATAGTAATCGTAATCCTCAAATCATTTCTGTTTGGTAGACATTAAATAAAAATAGTCTTTCTCTTGTTATTAAGATAATAATCTAGACTCTTCATTTCTTTTCAAGCTGTTATGGCAATTAAAATACATCTGAGTATGAAGTGTCTTTGATCCACATTTCTTTTAGCCTGTTAATATTTTGGAACTTGTTAGCAAGGTTCATGAATAATTTAGCATGATTAAAATTAGTATAGAAGTTTGTCACTGCACAGAGGGAAAAAAAACCCACACTTCACACTACTGAGTTCTCTCAGAGTAATCTTTACAACAAAAGCAGGCTCACCCCGGGGAGACACTGTGTTACAGATTTTATCTAAGGAGGAATACACGGGGACTGGAGAGCTCAGCTGAGCTGCACTCGGGTAAATTTTCATCAGCCCCTGGGTCTAGAGAAGAGGAATGTGAGAGGCTCCTGTCCGAGAAAAGATTGTCTGTTAATATGGGCAGGCTCCCTTTACGCAGGGAAACTCAATCTCTCTCCTCGATGGTGTGAGAACCTCTAAAGCCCTCTTCTCATTTGCAGTTGCTTCATCAAGACTGCAGAGGCTAGACAACTCCACTGTTCGCACATACTCATGTTGACCAGCCACTCAAAGGAGGCAGCACTGACCTGCTGTGAGTAGTTTCTCTTGGCTGACCCACAACCAACCAACAGAAAGATGGGACTGCATTGACAGAGGCTAGTCAATATACCCCATACCCTTTGGTATGACCTAGCAGGACAGAGGTGTGATCACTTGCCTCATGGAATCTTTACATCCTCGTAACTCTTCATCTGTCGTCTCCTATCATTATCTGTCTTCTGTGGTTAGCGGTCTACCTGTTGAGGGCCTGCGACTCGGTCATTTTACATGAATGCATTGCTAAGCATATCCTTTTCAGAGGCATTTTTTGCCGAGCCCTGTAGAGTTTTACTAGTAAGAGTCCAGCAGTTGAAAGAATCACAGATTTCAAGTGTCTGTCTTAGAAGGAAGCCAAGATAGAACAGTAGGAATTATTTATGCAAGTTTACAGTCACATAGGGTAAGGGATAGGAAATTAGATGTGGATTAATATTAACAACAAAGTTGGAAATAAAAATATTGAATTTCTAATGTCTTATTCTCTATCACTATGATTTATATTTGCTGAAATCAAGTATTAATTTTAAGAATCTGGGAAATATCACATAGGAACAAAAATTAGAAGAATTGGGAATAGAAGTTGCATAAAAGTTTGTTACATACACCTAAGATACAAGGCATTTGTAAGATAAGACATTTGTAAGGAATTACTAATCAGTGGAAGATATTGCTTTATCTATGTAACACAGAATTTTCTTTTAAAACCTCCTTATGAGCAAAACTGGTTTCCTAGATTTAGGAATTTCAAATTTTTGGAAATTGCTTTATCCTAAAATTTGGGTGTACCAAACTACTCTGTGGTTTTCAATGAGCTGATATTTGGGAAAGAATATTTTTAATGCAGTATGTGTACCAAGGGGTAGGATAAGGGTGCAGAAAGATAGTGCAGCAATTTGCCTCTTGCTGCTTATTTATTGTCTTAAATCAGGATCTCTGCACAACATATTGTTGTCTTTGGAGACTAACATAGGAGCTGACATCTTACCTTGCCTGGGTCACTAACTGATGGAACTGAAAACAAACAAACAAAAAAAACCATTATTTCATTTCATAAAAAGCTACTCTAATATAAATTTTTTTTATTGTGATATACTGTTTGGTCTCATAGGGCATGGCTTACAATATATAATTATATTGGTAAGTAAGAGACTTTCCACAATACTGTTTATAATAGATTCAGCATATAACATAATAGTTTTCTCAGAAATTTAATAATTCACCAGCTTATAAATGACTAATACGTTCAATTGTGCTTGCTGCTTAGCTCTAGCCTCATGGGTAGAATCGATCTTGAACTATTTGCAATTTTTTCCCCTGCATGTCATTCTAGTTCATATTTCTTAGTTTTGAACTTTTAAATGGAATAAAAATATTTATGAACAGGATAATCATAAGCAATCTTTACTTTTATTTTGGTGAGAAATTAAAATGACTGTCGTGGACAATAAAGTCCAAACATACTTTTTATTAATCTTATTGTGTCAGTTAAGAGTAATTGTGAGATTTTCCTGTGTGATGTCACAGCAGTCATCTGTGGTGAAATACATACAGCTGACACAGAAACTTCAAAATGTGCTATGTTTTATGTTCTGTAGTGATTAAAGAAAAGCATCATTTTAAGAACTCTAAAATATATGAACTAGAATATAAAGCTATCTTATGGAATAGGTCAATTCAACCTAATTTAATAATTTAAAAAAATCATTTTAAAAAGTCAGAAAGCATTCTGACATTTTATGTGACTATCTGTGTTTTTATTTTAGCCATACTTTTGCCAAAGTTGAACAAATCCTACTTAACACTTCTGCAAAATATAAGTAGAGACTAGTAAATGTCACATCATTGACTATTACTTACATCCCAGACAGTCTTATTTTTTTCCATTGAGGTTTTAGAACCGACCTGTGCAGCCTACATGGGAGTGTACCCGAGAGTAACAGGGTGGGAGCCATTGGCCAGGAGATACCAGTGAACTCATGGTGTACATTTCCTTTTACAGACGTTATCTTTTCAGTCTACACGACCTAAAGTGTACTACTGCCTACGAAGACAAATGGAGAAAGCCTTCACGGAGACTGAATTCTAAGGAAATAATATAAGAAACGGTTTACCAAACGTTAAACGTGATTTTGGGGGGAATCAGATAATAAGTTTGATTAGTTTACTATGATTGTAATAAAACGCTTAAATCATCTGAAATATGAACATCACCCACATCATAAACTCTGTACATCTGATGCTTTTATGAGATGGAACTATTCGTTTTTTCATGTTGTAATATAATAGGCATTTATGTATTACTGTGTAACATTTCTTTTTAAATGTGTAAGTCTTCTGTAAATGGATATAAATATGATTTTTTAAAGAAAAATAAAATATATGGTTCATGGAGTCTCGAGTGCAAACATTGAACAATTCCAAGTCCTGTTTGTATTTTACCATTCCACCATTTTTACGGTTTCTGAACTGTAAGTCAAATCAGTACGTATCCTGGAAGCGGGTTTCATGCTTCAACCTGCTGCTCCTTCCAGTCTGTCAAACCTGAAAGCTGAGCACCTGCCTCTGATCATGTAAAATAAATAAATAAATAAAAGTTAAAAAAAAAAGAAAAGAGAGAGAGAGAGAATGATATAACCTGGACCTGGAGCCAAAAAAAAGACCTTTAAAGGCAATCAGGGATCTTGTGTCCTCTCTCTGTAAAAAAAACAACACTGTGATGCCTCAATCTCCTTTTCAACAGAAAACAAAGCCAAACTGTTTACAAGCATCAAATGCAATGATTTTAAAAATTTATATCAAGAAAACCATTGTCTAATCTTGTTGCCTGTGGATCATGAAACACACACACACACACACACACACACACACACACACACACACACACACACCTTTCTTAAGAACCACATGTTCATTCAAATACCCCGAACTGCCAGCCAGCACTGGACATTGAGTGTCAACCACTGTAGAGTCTGAGGCCCATCTCCACTAGGAAAAAAAAAATACAGACCCCTTTAGCAACCCCCTCCCCCGTTTTTAAGATCACTGTTAACAGGGCATTAGCCAGACTTTTCAAGTCTAAGCCTTTAGCTGAAATGACCTTTTTGTGACGTCCCTGAATTCATTTTCATCAGAGGAAATAAAGACAATGATTGACATACATAGTGTATAAAAAGTAGAAAAGAGCGATTAATCTCTTCCTTGTGGCTTTCTTTGGTGGTGTCACTCTTGTTTATTCCTTGTTTATATGGGAGATTTCAAAGTGAAACCTATTTAACAATACCATGGATCTAACTGCTGTTTTCTTGCTGCTTGGTCTTATTATGCAAGACCTGTCATTAGTAAATTCTTTTTTTTTTTTTGTACTTTAATTTGTTATATTTGCACGTACCTTTGTTTTGATGTCTGTTTTTGTTGAACAGATTCATTCAAAAGGTAATGGTAAAAAAAAAAAACCTTTCCATTGTCAATAAAAAAAAATGCTTCCAATTTTCTGCTTAAGCTTCGTTTTCTAGTAGCGTAATATTTAATGATCTGCACGAATTACAAAGAAAATCATTCAGTGATTTCCAAGGCTGTTTTATTCAAAATCGAGGCTGCCACTAGAGGGAGGTCTAAACTAGCTTATGGAAGTGCTTTGAATTAAAGAAAAAAAAATGTTGCTTGAGTAAAACCAATGTGAAAGGACTTGCTAAGAGCAGCTAATGATGAGAATAAAGTCATCAAAATGAAATACAAGAGAAACCATGATACTCATAGGCTAGAAAGATTTGTATTTATATTTATAGACCAGTATGGCAATCGGGTTTGCAGAGCTGTAGTGAAATACTTCTGATAATTAATTTATAAAGAAGAAAAATGTATCTTGGCCGATATTTTTGGATGATTCAGCTCAAGAACCAGCAAGTCTGCATGCTTTGGGAAATCAAGTGGTGTGGAATGGCATGGCGGGAAGTATGTACTAGAGAAACCCGCTTGTCTCATGGCCACAGACAATAGAGAATGATGATGGGCCTGGGGACACAGAGTCCCCTTGGGAGGGGGCACACACAGCAGTGAGCTAAGCATTCCCCATCATCATCACCCTTACCAGGCACTCAGCACACACGGGTTGGGGGACATTCCATATTCAACTCTAACAACCACCCACTCAGTCATCAAAGTCAGTTTCTTCTTTTTGGGAATTACATTTAAAAAAATTACTGGTGATATGTACTGGGTCCTACAGGGTGATACAAAGTATCCAACTACTCTCCTCAAGAAAATGTAAAACATACACTTTAATGTATAAGAAAACTGTAGGGTTGGGGATTTAGCTCAGTGGTAGAGCATTTGCCTAGCAAGCACAAGGCCCTGGGTTTGATCCTCGGCTCCCCCTCCCAAAAAAAAAGAAAACTGTAGTCAGATTTGAAAGTCAGTTTCATGGATTGAGCTTGTATTTCAGGGTGGGTTTTTTGTTGTTGTTTTGTTTTGTTTGTTTTTTGTTTTCCTTTTGACCACCAACATTAGGATCAAGCCCTTTCAAATACAATTTTATATAAATAAACCCACCTTTTGATGTGTAGAACAGTTTAATTGATATCTATGTAGTGTATTTTATGGGGAAAATAAATTGGCACACTCTTTAAGTATTAAAAGCACTTTTATTTTCATTTCTCAAATGTCTTACAAATTTAAAAATTTCATAAAATACAAGATCACACAGAATCCATTTATATAAATTTAAGGTCACATTTCTTAGATTTTATTATTGCTATTCATGACACATTCAATTCAAGATACTTTGGATGCAATTTGGCAAAAAAAAAAGATGGTGAGATTTAAAATAGAAAGTAATTTAATTTTTCTCCCCAAATTTTAATTAGTCTGATGACTAAGTTATATATTTCATTCCTCCATTTTAGCCACATGAATGTGATCCCTGTCTCTGGTCTATAGCAGACATGAATTTCCTCACTGAAACATGAGAAGCAGCTCCTTCTGAAGTGTGATACACTTGGTTTTTGTTTTGTTTGTTTGTTTGTTTTGTTTTGTTTTTTCAAGATTCCCACAAATGGAAAATAATCCAGTCCTGTTTGCTGAGGTGTCCCTTCAGATCTGATAAAGAGGAACATCTACAAATGGTCCAAAAATGAAATCTTTACTCAATCTTTAGATCTGCCTGAGTTTATAACTTGCAAACAAAAAATGCTGAATTGAGTTAAAATATCTGACTCGTGGGGAAAAATAATGAACAGTATTGTATTGCTGAAATATTAAAAACTGTTGATTTGTAACCCCCACAGTTTTGATAATGTATACAATTTACACAGACAATGGAAAGTTCAAGAAACTCAACAGCTTCCAGTTATAAAATATCTATCCAGTTGGTTTAATTCAGGCAACCAAAATATTAGAGATGATAAAAATATTGTCTTCAGATTTATCAATGAAGAAGGTAGTTTAATCAATAAATGGTTCATTTGAAAAGCCATTTATTATCTAAGCAGCAGTCCAAAGAGGCCTAAAAAGATAGCTTTTATATAAGATACACATAATTTTTATGATAAGTAAATTAATCTGTTTGTTACTTTTCACCTGCATTTTGTGAAATTTGTTTCTGAGAGCACATTGTGCTCTTCATAGTGTTTCTCAAAAACTGAAGAATTGAGAAATTATTCTGAGAACTCTCAATGATTCAATGAACACAGTATACTTTTTGGATTTAACTATATGCTCTGATGAATAATACATGTAGAGCTCTAAGCTAGTTAACTATGTCTTTCTACTCTAGTTAATGGATATATTTCTATAACCTTATTAAAGGCTCATTTTCAATTTTTTGAAAAGGCTCAATCATTTTATAGAAACACAGATGGAAATGTATGTTAGCGTATAATATTTAAATGAATTAATATGATTTAAAGTTAAAATTGTAATAAAAGTAGATATTTGGGGTTCTCTTGAAGCCCAGAGGCTCTTGAAATGTAGTACAGCCTCTCTCCTGAGCCATATTTCTCTGGGGCCTGATATGGCTGTCTCCTTGATGGAACACATGATTGCCAGTACTTAAGGCTCTTTATTGTTTTTAAAATCACTTGTTAGTTCACGTGGCTCAAGGATCCACCTCAAATTCATTGATCTCCTGGAGTATAGCTCATTGGAAGAGTGCTTGCCTAACATGCACAAGGCTCTGGGTTCAATCCAATAAGAGAAAAAAAAAATGCTAATGTGGAGCTAAGTATGGTAGTACGTGCCGCTAACCCCAGCAACCAAGAGTTGGAGGCAAGAAGACCAGGATTTCAAAGTCAGCCACACTTACATGGCAAATGTGAGGCCAACCTAGGAAACATGTGACCTGGTCAAAAAAAAATTAGAAGAATAAAAATAAAAAATAAAATGAATAAATAAAAGAGAATGGGGGACTCGTGGATACTGCCCAGAAAGTCTCTTGATTTTTGGATTAAGATGAAAACTTTCAAATTTCTCTGCAATGTCACCCTTTGTGTTACCCCATTCAATTCGTGTGTCATTTCCTGAATGCCATTGGAGGATGAAGGCATCAAGATGCAATTGTGGCAGGGGATTCGAGGAGCCTTCATCCCCACAAAAGATTTGCTGGTAAGTTCTCTAGTTTCTCTACCAGACACAAGCCTCCCCTTACCCAATAACAGACAACATAGAAATGGTACTCCATCCAGGGGCCCTGTGTTGCTAAGCAACCTGTTCTGTCTAAATGATTACCTAAAAACAAGGTAGTCATCTTAAAAAAAAAAAAAAACCATTAAACAACATCTGAGTTTCCATAATAACGTTTTAAATGATATTCTGACTTTGATTTGAGTTTAGATTTTGATCAAACTGTGGCTGATTCTTATCTCCTGGAAGTGTGTTTATATTACACATACTTCCGATTAAAATGTGTTTGTAAGGCACAGTAATTTATAAAATCATATGCCAAAGACATGTTTGTTATTATGCAAGATAGAAGAAAATGATCCATGTTACAGGAAAGAGGTAACAATGCGAACTGGCTCACATAATGTAACACAAAATATAGCCTCTTTCACGGGCTGCTAGACTGATTTAACCCTAAGGCTCACATTTGAGTTGAGAAAGAATTCTTTCCAGCTGCTTATTTATAGAAAACAAACAACTTAAATCCAGCTAGAGAATTAAGACAGACTGACTGGAGATAGTAAATAAAAATCACAAGGCCTGTCTCAGCACTTCTTCTATGTGACCAAAAATGCTGGGGTCCTCGATAGTAGGAGTTACCTGGAAAGAAATGGACAATGTCAAATGATCATCTTCCCTTGAACTTCTCTAGGACTTTTTGTACAACAAACAGTGACATCCTTTTTTTTAGCACTCATCTTTTTGTGTTGTGTTTTGTTTTGATTTTTTTTCTTGAGATGGGGTCTTGTGTAA